GGAGGAGGAGGAACTTACACTTAGAGCTTTTACTATGATACAACACTGGCAATAATCATGTAATTGTGGTTCGGTGTGTGTTTTGTACGCGGGCCGATCTCTAAAACTCGTGTGTAGTAATAACACGTGTGAATTCCTCTCTCATTTGTTGCAAATATTACAATAGGTCTATGTATGAATTGATCATAGTGATAGATTAATGGTGATAATAATAATAATAATAATATATTATAATATATATAATAATAATAATATTAATAATAATTAATCAATAATGGGCAGGTAAATTATTAATCGTCGTAGTAATAATCTAGTATTTACACAGTTTTCACGCGAGGGCCCGATAATCGAATACGCATTCTCATTTAGTTACATTTTGATTGAACTGTACATACGCAGTGGACCCTCAACCGGAGAAAACGTCACTCCAAATCTTTCATCTCTCATCAAAATTAACACATTTTTATATAAACCCTCCCACGCGCACTAGCAGCCTGTTGTAAATTTCTATTTTTTGGTTACGACAACGCTTAGCTCGTCATGAGCGATACTCTCGGCGGGACACGCCGGGACGAGTATCCCTCGTCGAGGGTATCGCCATCGTTTAAAATTCACCCAGCACTCGAAAATGTGAGAAGTTAGTCGCGAAAAATCCATCAAGTTTCTCATGGCATTGAGATACAACCTTCGGTGTGGCGCCTAGGGGGATTATCCTCTTAATAACAAATTTTCTCCTCTCTTAAAGGGATATATTACTTAACATACGATCTAGATTATCTTTCTTTCCCGTACATACAACACTCTACTGGATTCTGCCTATCTATATTATCATTTCTTTCATACAAGTCTTCTTTATCATATACTTTGTATTTCTCGTTACGTTAATATTAATAATTGGTATATAATTGCGTACATTTACGATACTAATTATGAGCTAATAGTATTTGAACTATTATTAATTAACGTTAAGTATACACAACATACATATATGTATATATATATATATTTGTACGATTTCACTCACCCTGCACGAGTAGCAGCGAGGAAAAGTGGTAGAGTCGAGGGGGCTCTGGAGGATACGAGGGGGAATACGTAATAGTCTTTCGATAGTTTCGCTTTTAGTTTTTTCGTACCTCCTCCTTCTAGCGACTTTCTTTTCTTTTTTTTCTCTCTCTCTTTCTCGATCAAGGATGAAAACAATTTTGAGTCTATCTGAGTCAGGTCAAGTAGCATTGAAAAGCACCAACGTCACATTATCTTTCGCTCTTTCCTTTCGACGTATCACGTAAGAAAATCGAAAGGGAAAATACGCGCGCGCGAACCGAGCATTTCGGTCGCGACGTCGAGGATCGCGAGAGATCGGGAATCGTCCTCCGACCCTGAGGGAGTCCAAATCCTCAGGCACGTCAGGCTCTAGCGCTCAATGGAACTCAATGGAACGCGCGTCAGGCTTCCTATTTCAGTCTCCATCTGCACGCGCATGCACGCGAGTTTTAAGAGTTTTAATTATCTAGAATTATCATAATTCCTCGAACGCTTCGTATTATTTATAATCACGCGGTGCAGACGGTCGCAGCCGTCCAAGCGCCGCCGTTGTCGTCTCCGTTAAGGGAAACACTTACATAACCATCGACCGACGTGATCGTCCGTAACAGTCACTACAACCCCTCGACGAACTTGGAGAGTTGGTCCTGCGGCGTCATCGGCGTCACCTCGTTGGCGTCTGCGCCGCCATTCGTGGGCGCCGGCGCCGGCGAGGGATGATGAGGCATCGCGGCGGGATGGCCGGTTGGTGCACCTGGACCGCCACTTAACTGCGAGAGCATCATCTCGCTAGGACCGCCGAGTTCGTGGGCCGGCGAATGCGTCGGTGTGCCGTGAGGCGGATGATGATGTGGTGACGGCACCGGGCCCGACCGCGGCGACGGTACCGGTTGATTACGAGGAGAAGGGACAGGTCGTGGCGAAGGGTTGGGCTGTGGAGATCGGATGGGCGGTGGCGAACGAACTGACTGCATAAGCTGTTGCTGTACGGAGATCCCCGGCGGACCCATGACGCCTTGCGGCGAGGGCACGGGCGGCGGAGTAGGTTTCAGACCTGGCTGACCGTAGCCCTGTTCGTTGAATCCGCCGTAACCTAGGGAGTTGGGCAAGCGTTGGTGTCGAGAAAACACGCTGCGTACTAAACCCTGACTGCTTTCAAAGTAATTACGATGGATCATGTAATTACCAAGAAGAGACGGCCGTATAGGCCGTTGCTGACCATACGGCGGTGCTGGTGGTTGCGTAAACGGCTGCTGCTGCTGCTGCTGCTGCTGCTGCTGTTGTGCTGCTGCTGCTGCTGTTGCTGCTGCTGCTGTTGCTGCTGCTGCTGCTGTTGAGCCACCTGCTGCTGTCTCTGTTGCATCACCAGCATCTGCTGCTTGTACCATTGCGACTGCTGCTGCTGCTGCACCGGCTGTTGTTGTTGCGCTTGTTGTGTCAGCATCTGTATCTGCAACCTACCCTGTTGTTGCTGCTGCTGCTGCGGCTGTTGTTGCGGTTGCTGCTGCTGTGGCTGCTGCTGTTGGGACATCATATGCTGCAGACCAGGCTGCTGCTGTTGGGGTTGATTAGTACCCAACGGACCGCCCACTCCCCCGCCATGCTGACCAGGTTGTTGCTGATGAACAATCGCCTTTTTATTAAAAAAAGTGAATCAAATCTATAGATGCCACACCATAGAAATGTTTATAGATTTTTTTTAACGGTAATTAACTCACTCGTTGCTTGATAAAGGCGGCCATCAACGGCGGATTGCTCTTGAGTATATGGAGTATTTGATTCTGCTGATCGGGCGTGTGTGGACTTCTGAGAGTCTGCATCAGCTGATGAAGAGCGTGCTTCTGCATATTGGTTGTCTGTTGCCCGACCTGTCCGACCGGTCCAATCACGCCCGGTTGTCGTGGCATTTGTGCACTCATTCCCATCCCCGATTGAGCCTGATGTTGTTGCTGCTGTTGCTGCATTAGCTGCTGTGGCGTCTGCTGCCGTGCCAAGTTGGGATTTTGTTGCATCACTGTGTTCGGTTGGTACCTACTGGTGTAAGGAAGAACACGTTGGGTTTTCAGGAGACGCGTTCTTTGTTCGATGAATGATTAGTAAGACATAATAACCAGTTTTTCTGAAAGTTAAAAAGCATAAGAAAAAAATGTGTGAATAGATACCTTGGCGTCCATTGATCCATTGGGATGAGATGCGTGCCGCTAGGATTCGGCATCTGAACTGGTAACGACCGCTGCATCTGCGGTGGCGGCATCACTCCACCTGTTTGACCACCTACACCGACACCTACACCTACTCCAGCACCCGGTGTCACCTTACCATAACTGACGTGCGGTGCTTGCTGTCTCGCTGCTTCTTCCTGTACCTGCTTCACCACCTGTAGAACATGAGCGGGAGGTGTCTGCGTACCAGGCTTTAATCCGATACCTGGTTGATGTGGTGACGGTAGATTCGACGTGCTGACGCCGGGCTTCATGGCGACTCCAGTCGTCATGGCAACATTCGAGGTCTGCTGTCCGGCCTGCATTGCAGCTACAGGTCCGGTTGGCCTCGTATTCATCACAGCCATTCGCCTCCTGTACGAATAAACATATACATTGACAATTTTCGACATATAAAAGTTCAACAGATTATAGATAGATTTGTTAAAATATAAAAGAGAAAAGATAAGAATACTTAGATCTTTCTTGAATAGATAATGATTATTACGAATTTATTGTAAAGAACAAGAGTTAAAAAAGAATATGTACGGTCTCATATTCATACATACAGAAGTTAAATAATTTATATCAAAAATTATTCAGAGAAAATGTGAAATTAAGAATTAAAAATACATATACATATTATATATACAAATTAAAACACAAAAATAAAGATATGTGAAATTATCATTTGTTTTAATTTTAATATTTTACACGTTATTATCAAAGAGAATTAGAATAAAAAGGATAATAACAGAATGCCATTTTCAAATAGGAAACAAAAATAAGGTAAAGTCACTGACTTCTTCAAATTTCAATACATCTGTAATATACTGTAATTCTTATTATTAGAAACAAAATTGTATAGATAATGAGGAAAGACTAACAAGTAAATCGAATAGATAAAATTTCTATCAATTTATAAAAAAATCATGTAAAAAATTTATTTGTTGCTGCTTTTCCACAAGTTATGTAAAAATATTTCATTTCTTCGAGGTGTTAACCAATTAAATGTTGAAGATGTATAATGATTGATGAAGAGAAATTGTTTAGATGTATGATGATTAATTGAAGGTATGATGAGATTATCGGAATATATGTTTTAGTTCACATTAGATAATATATGTAAAATGTCGAAGAATCTACCAACCTAAGCAATTGCGCTTGCTGTAATCGTTGCTGCAACTGTTGCTGCTTTATCTTGTGCTTGATGTTGGAACAGAACGGAACGAGACATTTGGTCTCTTGGCAGTGTTTCGCATGATAACAGCATAATGCAATCAACTGTTTACATATAGGACAACCGCCATTTGTCTTTCTCTTGCAATTCTTCGTGTGCATCACTACTCGTTTCATCTTCTGACAACTCGGCAAACGGCAATTGGCGTCTCTGCACTGGCAGGCATGTACCAATGACTGAATGCATCTCTGTATCGATAGTTTTCGGGCCTCCTGCGTTGCAAAAACAGAAAAGGTATTAGTATCACAGATTTAACATAATTACAATAACAGATAGTTGTAGAATAATCTGATAAGTTACTTGTGGATTTGTCTGTTTTGCATCGGCCGGAGATGAGCCATCATCCAGATCGAAGCCAAGTTTCTCCATTGGATGCGGATGGCCATCTTTATCTTTACAACTCACGCATAAATCAAAATCCTATAATGCGAAATTATAGCCAAAGTTATAAAAAGTATAAAGAGTTTTTCCTCGAAATCTCTATCTAATATCTGATACGTACGTCACAAACTGTACAATGGTATCTGGTTTCCACATGACTTTTGCAGTTATTACAAGTGTAAACAAATTTGTCCTGGCCTTGATTATGTAACTCGTACAACATGGACATGGAACTGAACTTCGCTCTTCTGAGCGATGAAAATTCGTAATGCCTCTCCCTCGCCATCGTGAGAAAGGCGTCACGGCCGTCCATTAGATCACAATTGATAACAGGATCAGGATCTTGAATAGGCTAAAGATTTAGGTAAAAATTAGTAATCGTATGCATTAAGCTTTCAAAAAGAAAAAGAAAGAAATTCATAATGTATAAAATACTTACTGCTAAACTGGCTGCACTTTGAGCGCTGTGCAACCTAATGACGAAGAACACCTCTTTGTGCTTTTCCATGGTGGCAAAGATTTTCGCAGAAAGGTCATTGCCGGTCTGAGGAGTATTCGATTTCTTGCTATTTTTTCTTTGATTCGCTTTAGATTTGTTGGATTTTTTCGCCTTCTTTTGGCCCTTTTTCTTGCCGTCTGGAGTTTCCGCGTCTTCGGACAATGAAAATATCTGAAAAGATACAAGATTAAGGATATAAATATACAAAGACGATCATTACGTGTAAATAAGAACATTCATCTTATACAACTTACCGCGTTTGCCGCAGCAGCGGCGGCCTCCGCTGCTTCAGCTTGTTTGCGCTTCTCTTCCTCTTCTTGATCTAATTCTTTAATACTTTCTTCCAATACGTTTGGCCAGAAATCACCCTCAAAATATGGTAAGTCCGCCGCGGATGAAAGCCTGTCTTCCATAGCTTGTTTTAAAATGTCCTACACACAAAAGTTTTACTTGTATATTTCTATCTCGACGCATAAACAAAAAAATAATTGACGGAAAAATGTCGTCTGCAAATCCTATGTTCATTGCTATAAATAATAACAAGAACACTAGCTTTATCCCAGACATTTATTTAAGTCTCGATTGACGCCGATACGATACCACGACACGTAACGGGAACACAAGAGACTAGACCTAAAAAACAGTAGTAAAATACAATTTTTCTACTAACCTTGTAGTCGAGCACGATTCTCTCGACCATTCCCTTATCCAACATTTTCTTGTACCACTCCTGCAATCTCTTAGGCTTTGGTATTTTTTGTTCTGCGGGATGGCAGTGGAAGATATAATCGTCCCCTTCGGAAGGCGGACAAGCCCAAATATGAGCCATAGTGTATCTACAATTTCACATTTCTCTTATACTTCACAGTCTTGCAATCAAATTCTCTTAAAATATAGAATTCACATCTTGGATACAATGTCGTACGCTTTATCAAACTAATTACTTTTCACTTAGATGAACTTACCCAAGCTGCTTCGCGTAGTCGAGGTATCCGAGAAGAATCTCGTGGTACACAGCCGTTCGAAATTGTCTAGGCCGGAAGAAATGGACAGAGTCCAGATATGCGATGTAAACTCGTCTGGTATTCGGCGCCGTACATTCGCTCCCGTATTCCTGCACGTGCATACCGAAAAACAGACATCCGTGCCGTCGACCTCCTCGAACGCGAACAGCGCCTTCGCGCGGTAAGGAAATTCACCAGGCATGTCGCCATTCTCTACAAATCTACTTCGCATACCAGGCTTGACTTCAACCACCTTGTCGCTGGAAGCGACCACTCTGATCGCGACCTCACCGGCGCCCGCTTCCTTTTTCTTTAGGAAATTGTTCACGCGCGTTTCGATATACGTGCCGAGTTTCGTTACGGGCAATCGTTTGGCGTTGAACTTATTCTCTTTGCGTTTCTGTCCCTTCTTTTTTAAGCAATTATCACAGGTAAATCTATCAAAGGAAAAATAACTTCTAAGCACGCGAAATATTTCCTAACTTTTATTGAATTGAAACGTAGACGATAAATATCATAAACGTTTTAATTCATAACTTGCTCTTTTGTTATTTTATTTTATTTACCCCAATGGCCAGATTGTTTCCATATGGAGTACACAAATTTGATGTACTCTCCTACCACAGTCCGTGCAGGTTACAAAAGGTTCCAATTCTAAATGATCATTCTTCATCTCTTGAAACTGTTCCTTCTTGATGGCACTACGAAAGACAAAAAGATATTGTATGAATCATATTGGATAGGAATAACATTAACAAGGTTTGTACGAGTTTGAATCTTTTGATAACTTACGTTTGAGGTTGCGTTGGGTCATCTCCCAATGTCACTGTGTCACCAGGAATGTCGTTGAAACATTTCTGACAGAAGGTGTATCTGTCGGAAAGAAGACCAATTCCCTTTAGACCACTATTACATCGACGCCGTGTGTGCGTTTTTATTATTGTAAATTCGATGTACGACGATCAATTTATTCGGTGTCCAAGTCTCGATGTATCAAGTGGCGTCAATTTCACGTTTTTTATATATATATATATATATGTGTATATACATTTCGTATTTTTTTTCGCAATTACACATGCATGCAATGGCCAATTTGGATCCGATTTCAAAGAGAATCAGTGGGGCATCGTTTTGTTTTTTTTTTTTTTTTTTTTTTTTTTTCGTATTAGAGTTTTCCAAGTATCAAGTTTTTCGTAGTAGTAGTAGTAGAGTCGAAAAGAAGCAAGGGCGCAGGCAACACAAGAAGTAAGCAGCAAACAAGGATTTGTGTATGCGTGCGCAACCCATGGTCGAAGATAACATACAAAGAAGAGAGAACAGTGCCAATGTTAAAAAAATATCAAATTTATATGTCATTTTCTACATTCTAATCGCATATACCAAAAGGCTATGTAAAGTTATATCCAGAGATGAATAAGCTTTCCTTTAAAACACTGTAATTTTTGTCTACTCTAAAACCAGATATTTTGTATTCTTAAGGATACACATCCCTTAGGTATAAGCGCAACTAATAGAAACTTTAAGTGCGTGAGTTCAATACAAAAGAAAATTCCTATGTCTTAAACTACTGCCATAACTTTGAAAAGGTGTCGGTCAGGGGACTGACTTGCTTTTGCACATCTTGTCAAAAGCAAGTTAATTAACCTGCCTTTATAATTTTGCGCATTCAGTAACAGTGCACTTTCAAAATTAAAAGCGTCCGTATAAAATGAATACGCGTCAATTCAAATGCCCTTAAGTCATATAGAACATTATTCAAAGTGTGAGAAGATATTATGACAAAATATTACTAATGTATTTATATTCTGCATATTTTGACTATAGAGTTGTTCAAACCAAACATTGTAACATAAAATGTTATTGTCCTACATTTTTCCTATATTCTTATATATTCAGCGCATTTGAATTGACAAAAATAATGAATTAATCAAACATCAATTCAAAATTGATCCAAAGAATATATCTACGTACGTACAAAAGTGCATTACATTTTGAATAACGTTTTTAATTAATATTTAATATGTTTAATATTAATAGTTTAAGCATTAGTATTTCCAAATAACGTTCTATATCTCGAACATCATCAATTAAGTTCTACATATTATACTTTGATGCATACTGAATATACTACGATGCATACTGACCTATTCTGATACGAATAATACTTTGCATCCCTAGGTATCGTGCAGAGCTGCTTGCCGTAGCAACAGAGCACCTGTGGGTTGAACGTGTACTTCCTGCCGCAGCAATAACCTAATGCCTGCATCACGGGATCTATCTCCTGTTCGAACACTTCCGAGAGCTGCGTTTAAGAAAATAAAAGAAAAATTATAGAAAATATCAGTTAGACAGCATAGAGTCAAGTATGACATTACCTTGGTGCAATATCTATAGACACGGGAAGTCTTGCGGTTATATAACCAAGCATTGTCAAACATCATCCATACATCATCGACATACTCCCACGGATCGCTATACTTTTCCGTATCGAGTTTCTTCTTGATCGTCGATAGATCCATCGGCTTTTTCACGATAGTCGGGTAATCAGGTATACCCAGAGCTTGCGGATCCACAGGCTGTCGAAAAGGCATGGATTCCGGATCTTGTCGATAAAGCCTCTCCAATGTAGGCATCAATGCCTGTCGCAGGTCTTCAGGCTTAAATAGACATTTCTTCTTATCGGTGGACGTGCCACTCGATTGAATTGGTTCCGGCACTACAGGTTTGATGTCGGAAGCGGTCGCATCTTGACCAGATACAGGAGTCATGCTCTCCTCCTTAATGGAGGGCTCCTCCTTAACGGTCGCTTCATTTGAGCATTCCTCCATTGGTTCGGTTTTCGGCTCGGTTTTAATATTAATCTCGGTATTCATACTCTTTCCGTCCATCCTGTGGGTCTGTGGCTCTTCGGGTTCTTGTTTAATTTCCATCTTTATTTCTTCCTTGATGGAATCTAACTTGCCCTTGTTGTTGTTCATTGGTGGACTGGGTGAATTATCGCGATCTAGCGCTGCCGTAATGGCAGCCATTTGCGAGGACATGGATGTGCTGCGCGGGGTGTTCAACGCTGCTCGCTCCTGGGAAGTCATACCTTTACCAAGACTCGCGAGTCCAGCTGGGGATGGAGTCGGGCCCGAATGAGGCGGCGTCTGATTTGACGCAGACGAAACAGTTTGATTTGGTGTCATTAGCGATGGTACAAGTGGCGTGTTCGGTGTGGAGGTGGTCGACTGAGGTCCGTTCGTCGTACCCGTAGTTGTCGCGGATACGCCACCTGTTGGGCTCGGTCCGCTAGTCGCAGGTGTTGGTATCGTTTGTGGAGTTGATGTGTTGATACCGTTATCATTAGGTGTAGAAGCCGATAACGGCCGAGTAGGGAATTGTTGATTCGATTGTTGCTGCGACTGTTGTTGCTGTTGTTGCGCGCTCGGTTGTTGCATACTACTGAACGGTGATGGTGCTTGTGGAATCGATGTTGCCGGAGTACCAACTTGACTTGGAGTACTCGTCGGTTGCGGCGGCTGCTGATTCTGCTGCTGTTGTTGCTGTACCGCCTGAGCTTGTGCTTGCGCCAATCTGACTTTCATGAGCTCGGGAAACTGATGCTGATTCTGAATAGGAGAACTGTTAGGTAAACCAGCAGCTGTGCCATTGGATGTCGGAAATTGACTAGTCGTTGCGTTGTTTGACGCAGTGGTGGTCGTGAGGTTAGCTTGGGACATTTGAGGCTGTCCAAACGGGCTGAGTCCAGGATTCGGTACCATATTGGCATTGGATGTGGATTGTCCATTTGGGCTAGGGCCAGGAGGGCCTACCAAAATCCCTTGTTGCTGCTGCTGTATCTGCTGTTGAACTTGCTGTTGTACTTGCTGTTGTTGTTGCTGAGCCTGTTGTTGTTGAGTTTGAGCTTGCTGCTGTTGCTGCGGGAACTGCATTCTGTTATGTTGCTGCATTGCCATCGTTGATATTGTTCCAAGCTGACCCATGCTCGGTGAGTGGCTTCGTAAAGTAGGTGGAACTGTTCCGACAGGTTTCGAAGCTCCCGGAACAGTTCCTACATTTGGAGGAGCACATGGCCTTAGCCCAGGACCAGAGGTACCCGCCGGCTGAGGTTGCTGTTGCTGCTGCTGTTGGGCGAGTTGTTGCTGTTCCTTACGTTTTTGTCGCTTTTCGTCTGTGTCATTTAAGAAATTTCTCTTAGTATCTTTATCGTACATAGCTTAAAAAGAAAAAAATATCTAGTTATCAAATGTAAAAAGTATAAAAATTAGCACATATAAATATTTAAAAATATGTTATATGTCAAAGTTGAAATTTGAAAACTCATATAAAAGACCATAAAATTTAACCTTTTGATATTCGGTGTCGAATGTAACATTATTAGAAAATATTATTAGAAAATGGTTATATTATTATAAAGTAACATTATTTACCAAGTTCTTTTTGAATCTTGTAGATTTTCTCAGCCAACAGATGATAATATTCCGATCGTGAATTAGCCATTTCATACATGTCACCTTCCACCTTTCTTGCATAAGCGACTAAGTTGTGCATTCTTTTATCCAACATAGCTTGCGGATCAGGTGTCGGAAATATTGCTTGAACCCTAAAAAAATATTGACAAAGAATGTGTTACAACTTTCGGAAATACAATTTCGAAACATACACTACTGCATGTATTAAAACTCTTACTAACAATTTATGAACCAAATGATTCCTGAGATCTGGAGTGACAGATAGATGCCACTCCTTCGTTCCTTGTACCGGTGTCGCTGTTACTTGACCGGGTTGAAGACCGCCTGGAAGTTGCAGATTTAATCTATTTTCTCCACCTATCACACCAGGTTGCCCAGATTCATTTAATCCAAACAACGTTTGCATGCTGACGGACTGTTGTATATTGGCAGCAGCTGCTGCCGCGGCAGACGTAGGTCCGGTCGTCGGTACCGTCTGATTACCAGCTACCCCGACCGTGCTAGGATCGGAATTTAGAGGAAGAGATACATTTGGAGCGACTACTTGTTGTCCAGCACCGACTACGGACTGTCCCGGCACAGCTGAAACACACACGAGCGTCCATCGCTTATTGGTTTTCGCATAAATAAAATATTGTAATCTTGATAAAAAAGTAAGTAGTTATAAATTGTGAATGAAACTTGCCATATTAATATACAACTTACTCTGTGTCTGAGGTTGTGTTAATCTGACATTTCCCAGTGTCCCTGGAGGACCCGACATGCTGGGAGCTGGCATTCTACCGCCTCTACCAACGCCTTGGCCAGGCAAGAGTCCCGGTGTTGATGCTGGACATTGAATCCCTAATGCATCATAAGCTCTTCTCATCTCGGTTGGACTTGGATTTGGCTGATTATTTGGTTGGACTATTGGTGCTAATAAATACATATGTACATATACATACTACATATATATAAAATATATATAAAATAACAAATATATATAAAATACATATAACAGAAAACACACAAGTACATAAATAATCGACTGGTATTCCAGAATAGATTACCTTGTGCAGAATTAGTATTTCGGTTCTTATTGGCTTGCTTTATCGGCAAACAGACCGGGCAATCACTCCGATTACAATGTTTCCAATGGCTGATGATCTGTCTGGACATGCTACAATGGGGCACCGAACAATTTTTGCCCGCTGCACAGTTCGTCATATGATTTAAAACATTTTTCATTGTTTTACAATCTGGTAAAGTGCATTGTTTCATTTCGCCGTTTGCTTGGCTTTCGCGTCGTTGGCATTTATGAGCGTGCAAAAGTAACACCAACTGTTGCTGTATGAGTCTACATTTTTCTGGATCGGGCGTTGATTTTGCAGGACCTAAACGAAAGAAATACCCAGTTGATGCTACTGTAAAACAAAATGAAAAAAACAAATTTACCTGTTGGAGCACCGGTACCAGATATTTGTCCTTGAGTAGCTTGTTGTGGACCCGGCTGTCCTCCGGTCGGCGCACCTGATTGAGGCTGAGCCGGACTTGGCGCAGGTGGTTGTGCCTGTTGTGCCGTTCCACCCTCTTGACCGCCCACGACATTCGTAGCGCCAATCGGACCAGCAGTACTGGTAAATCTGCTGGCGGCGGCTGCTGCTTGCATAGGAGTCATGTTCGTTCCTACACCCTTTTGCTGCGGCTTGACGATACCTACGGGATTATTGGCGCATACAGTTACTCCTGCTCCTGGTCCACCACTTGGGGAACCTGTATTATAAATTTTGTTTTCACCGATTTACATCTATTTTTATCTATCGCATCCATTATTTCGTGCATATCAAGCAGAAGAAAATATATTTTATATACCGTAGCTGTATGGATTGGATGCTGCTAATTGCCCCATATTTGGCATATTTGCCATGTTAGGAGGAGCCTGCATCCTAGGCCCACCCTGGCCGGGACCAACGATGCCAACTTGATGCACCTGTTGGTGAGGACTCTGCCCTCTTGTCGGACCGACCATATGCGCTTGCTGTTGCTGCTGCATCGCCACAGCTCTTGTATTCATCATCCCGGGACCATTTTGCATCGATGTGACCCCATGGGGCCCGGTAGAATGATGTATCGCTTGAGTATTAGGGCCCATCATTGTTACCTTCAAAATATTCTTGATCAAATTATCCGCCCAACTCAACGAAATTATATCGTTACTAATGTATAACGTTATGTATATCAACGTACTGTATTTAGAGGTTGCTTATTTAAACTGTTAGTTACTATCAAGCTCCCGCCGGCCATTCCTCCCATATTGTTCCCGCTAGCGGTACTGGTCATCACTAAACCGGAATTCATGCCGCCTGGCATCGACATTGCGGGGTTACTTCCGGCCATGCTCATGGACGATTGCAATCCGCCCATCGAATTCGCGATTGACATTTGATTATTTGCCAATGAGCTGGCTATACTGCTTGGTAGATTACCAAGGCTCACGACCATTTGCGGGTCTATTCCTCCTTTAGAAACGGAAACGTTCGGTGGCGACTGCATATTCGGACTTTTGTTGCCTAACGTTCCGGCAGCCATTACCAAGGAATTCGCCACCAAGTTTTTGTTACCCTGTTCAACGATCGTTCGATATAGGCATAACGTGTGATGAAGCATGATTATGATTAATAAAACTGTAAAACTGTTTAACATAACGTAACGTATACCTGCTGCTGAATAAGATGATGGGAAAGTTGTTGCTGCTGCTGTTGCACATGTTGTCGAAGTTCTGAATCGAGAGCACCGTTTTGCTGCCCTGGGCCAGGACCAGTCGCCGGCGGCTTGGTGCTCTCGGTCGTGGAACCCCAAGATCCAGACGACAGCAAGTCATCAGGAAGATCATTTTCAAGATCGAACATTTCTGTGTTTGTTATGTAATCTGAAGATGAAGGAGAGAAAGGAATTGAGAGTTACAATTCTATAAGTATTTACATCACGTTTCCGTTATGATGATGCAAGTACTGGCTATCGGAAAAGTACATTACATCATTACAACAAAATGTTACATGTAGAATCCGGTAGTAGTTTATTACAATTTGACCTTTCTCTGCTACGTATTCAAATGGATCTTTTCAAAGATTTGTGATAAATACATCATTAGAATATGTACTCTTTTCCGAGATAACCAGTTCGTCAATTTTAAATGATTTACAATATTGAGAACGAATAAGTACCATAGATACCAAGAAATTATTAGTAATTTTACGAGGGTAAGATTTTAGCGCCGTCACCATAGCTTTTAGCGTCAAAATTTTCAGCAGAGTATCAATATTCTCGCGAAATGTACATGTTACATCATTATGTGCATAATGTATTATAATCCCTATATACATGTATATACACATACCACTGCATGTAAATATACATACATACATACATGCATGTATATAGAGACAGGCAAAGAAAGCATTCGATTTTTCGTCTATATTGTGGGAATAACGTGTGATACTCTATCAATATTTTTTTAAAAATATTCACATTCCTTGGACAAAATAAAATTGAAACTTACTCATCTATCCACGACTGACCATACATCGACGGAGAAAAAAAGGGTATACATATATTTATAAGATACGTATGTAAATGTAGGAAGAATACAAATGCAGAGGGAGATCCTATAATATTAAGAAAATAAATAAAAAAAAAAAAAAGAGAGAGAAAAATATAGAAAACTGTACGTGGTTGTAAACAAACATGAAAAATAAGACATGAGACATACACTGCATGAGCATAACGTAAAGGAGCCTTATTCTACAGCAAGAATGAAAAATCTTCGGCACAATAAATTAGTGCTAAACTAAACAAGCATCCAGCGAAGCTACCGATGGCAAACTTTTATAGAAGAGAGTCATGCGAAGAAAAATCAGTCACTCTAGAAAAAAATATCTGTTCAAGCCAAAATGATACTCTCGACGCTACGTACAGAACGTGAGCGTCGTCTCTCTTCGTTCCTAAAGATCAGACTGTAAAATTTCTTGAGACTCGGTAGTGAAAAAATTAAAAAAGAAAAAAAACAGGAAAAAAGCTAGGAGAGAGAGAGAGAGAGAGAGAGAGAGAGAGAGAGAGATAGAGATATCTGTTTGCGCACGCACAGGTTTTCATTCTATTTACGTTCAGTTATCTATAAGAGATTTAATTGATATAAACCTGGTTAACTCCCACCTATTCGGCTATTTATTGTCCGCGCTCGTATCGGATGTGAACTTTTTCCGTTACAAGCACGGTGTTTTTTTGCATGCGCATTTAATTTTCACCTTTGCAATTCCTCCGCGAGCTCCGCGCGTGTGTGTGTCGCATGTCTATGTCTAGCCACATTTGATTTTCACACCGAGAGACCGTCCTCTCACGGTGTTTGTTACGGAAAGAGGGGGAAAAAAACTTGGCTTAATCCTGGAAATCTTATGTACCTTTAACCAACACCGATCCAATTTTTCTCCATTACTATGTAAAGCGAAATCAGTCCGTGTGTTCGTGTGTATTCAAAGTAAAGCTAAATACTTTATGTTATCCGTATTTGCCGCTTACTTCCTCTCTCTATCATATTTTCAAAGATAAATTATCGCAATTATCCGCTCTTTCGTTTGCTTCTCTATAAACGTGCCGTGACGATAGACTAATGTTACTGAACCATAGTGACAATATGCCAAAAACTACCATCCATCAGAAAGTACTGCGATTGGAAATTGTCATTGAAAATCGGAGACCGAGACAAGTAACTTGACGAGAGAACGTATGGTACTAATGATATGAACGAACGGACAAAACGGTGTCCTTTCCTCTTTTTCTTTTTTTTTCCTCGCGGTACTGAATTTAACGCCTTTCGAAATTCTCGCTTTTTCTTTCTTTTTTTTTTCTTTTTTTTTCTTTTTTTTTTTTTTGTATCAGATAGTGATATTTACTTCTTTTTTGGACGGTATTCCACGGCTGCAGCTGATGGTGTTGTAGATGTAGCTGTTGCGGTGGGGCCTGTATTTGTTGTAAGTTACTTCCACCTCCCCCGTAGTTCGTATAAGCAGGGTGCATCAATAAAGGCGGCATACCCACTACTATATCATAGGTTTTCGTTTAATTTAGAATGAAGGAGAAGAATACGGTTCAAGCTTTGTTCTCTGGATTAAAGTATCCAAGTGGCAGAAACGGTTTCACCGGCGATCTTTCGCGCTGCTGATCGTCAGCGGATTCGATTCTTTGATCGACTCGCGTAAAAGCGGGCAAACCGTTTCTGCGACTTTGTTTCGCACTTGCGACTTTAATAAGGACCCTCGCAAAGAAGCGATTTCCGAGGAGACTCGCGATCATTACATCCG